GTTGTGTCGTCGGCAAACTTAATGATGGTGTTGGAGTCGTGCCTGGCCATGCAGTCATGGGTGAACAGAGAGTACAGGAGGGGACTGAGCACGCACCCCTGAGGGGCCCCCGTGTTGAGGATCAGTGTGGCAGATGTGTTGTTACCTACCCTTACCACCTGGGGGCGGCCCGTCAGGAAGTCCAGGATCCAGTTGCAGAGGGAGGTGTTTAGTCCCAGGATCCTTAGCTTAGTGATGAGCTTAGAGGGCACTATGGTGTTGAATGCTGAGCTGTAGTCAATGAATAGCATTCTCACGTAGGTGTTCCTCTTGTCCAGGTGGGAAAGGGCAGTGTGGAGTGCAATAGAGATTGCATCATCTGTGGATCTGTTGGGGCGGTATGCAAATTGGAGTGGGTCTAGGGTTTCTGGGATAATGCTGTTGATGTGAGCCATGACCAGCCTTTCAAAGCACTTCATGGCTACAGACGTCAGTGCTACGGGTCGGTAGTCATTTAGGCAGGTTATCTTAGAGTCCTTGGGCACGGGGACTATGGTGGTCTGCTTGAAACATGTTGGTATTACAGACTCAGTCAGGGACATGTTGAAAATGTCAGTGAAGACACTTGCCAGTTGGTCAGCACATGCTCGGAGTACACGTCCTGGTAATGAGAACTTGTTCTCAACTGGCTTACCTGGTTAAATAAAGGTTAAATAAAATAAAAATAAAACATCTTCATTCACGGCTTTATGTAAACTATCTTTGATAAAGCGTGGCCTAAACAAATATTAGTCTTCAATCTCTGTAATACGTGATGAGGTTTGCAATCTCTGTAATACGTGATGAGATTTGCAATCTCTGTAATAGGTGATGAGGTTTGCAATCTCTGTAATACGTGATGAGGTTTGCAATCTCTGTAATACATGATGAGCTTTGCGATCTCTGTAATACGTGATGAGGTTTGCAATCTCTGTAAAACATAATGAGGTTTGCAATCTCTGTAATACGTGATGAGGTTTGCAATCTCTGTAATACGTGATGAGCTTTGCAATCTCTGTAAAACGTGATGAGGTGTCTCCGGATTTCTGGAGTGTCCTTTACTTTAGTTTTCCCAAACCTTTTCTAACCAAGTCTTGGCAAGCAGTCACATATCTAGATTTTTTTTTCTCTTTGAGGATTCTTCTTGCAGAAAATAAGTAGGAAATGTTAGCTTGAAGTCGGAGGAATGAAATATTGAAGGTTGAGGCTGACAGTAGGCCATGTTCAACATTCATGGTCTCCGGGACGACAGGGAAACAGCCGTGGTCTCCGGGACGACAGGGGAAACAGCCGCCGAGTCACGCCTTTGAGCTGACAGACAGGAAGTGTAAAGCCCAGGGAGGTACAGGTGTTCCTCCAAAGCAATAAGACAGCTTTTGTATTCAAGGCTACAAATACAGACAGTCTATTTAGGGCTTAAATCAGTGTCAATACACTATATTTATGATAGCGTGTAGATTGAGACTTAGTTTAAAGGTCAGTTTTAGTTTTAGGGTTTGGGTTTAATACTAGGGTTGAGAAACTGTGTCCAGGACTAAAGTGTTAGAAGAAAAAAAGCATGTCAGAAAGGAAGAGAAAAAAACTTGCCAATCATCTGAAGATAAGCAACGGTAGGTTCTGAACATGTAGACAGCTCCTTCGAGAAAGAAAGCAGTTATTCTGTAAGCTATTGTCTATTATACGAACAACAGCACTTAATACTATATCTTCCAAAATTCTGTATGTAGATAATACAAAAAAATATATGTATTCATAAAGTTTGTTAACATCTCACATCTGAAAATAAACATCAACATAAAATAAAATTTCTACATATCATACATTTGAGCAATACATCCTCCCTGGCAGATATGTTCTGTCCCGGATACGATACGGTAACATTAAACATATGTGACATAAACGTAACCTTTAACTTTTCAAATACGCCTAACTAATTTTCCCCTATTTTGATATACAGTGCCTTGCAAAAGTATTCATCCCACTTGGTGTTTTTCCTATTGCATTACAACCTGTAATTTAAATAGACTTTTATTTGGATTTCATGTAATGGACATACACAAAATAGTCACTATTGGTGAAGTGGAATTTAAAAAATAACTTATTTCAAAAAATAAATTACGGAAAAGTGGTGCGTGCATATGTATTCACCCCCTTTGCTATGAAGCCCCTAAATGAGATCTGGTGCAACCAATTACCTTCAGAAGTCACATAATTAGTTAAATAAAGTCCACCTGTGTGCAATCTAAGTGTCACATGATCTGTCACATGATCTCAGTATATATACACCTGTTGTGAAAGGCCCCAGAGTCTGCAACACCACTAAGCAAGGGGCACAACCAATCAAGCGGCCCCATGAAGACCAAGGAGCTCTCCAAACAGGTCAGGGACAAAGTTGTGGAGAAGTACAGATCAGGGTTGGGTTATAAAAAAATATCAGAAACTTTGAACATCCCACAGAGCACCATTAAATCCATTATTAAAAAATGAAAAGAATATGGCACCACAACAAACCTGCCAAGAGAGGGCCACCCACCAAAACTCACGGACCAGGCAAGGAGGGCATTAATCAGAGAGGCAACAAAGAGACCAAAGATAACACTGAAGGAGCTGCAAAGATTGGAGTATCTGTCCATAGGACCACTTTCAGCCGTACACTCCACAGAGCTGGGCTTTACGGAAGAGTGGCCAGAAAAAGATACGCAAACAAGTTTGGTGTTCGCCAACAGGCATGTGGGAGACTCCCCAAACATATGGAAGAAGGTACTCTGGTCAGATGAGACTAAAATTGAGCTTTTTCAGTCTGCCAGAGATTTGAGACTGGGACGGAGGTTCACCTTCCAGCAGGACAATGACCCTAAGCATACTGCTAAAGCAACACTCGAGTGGTTTAAATGTTTTGGAATGGCCTAGTCAAAGCCCAGACCTCAATCCAATTTAGAATCTGTGATATGACTTAAAGATTGCTGTACACCAGCGGAACCCATCCAACTTGAAGGAGCTGGAGCAGTTTTGCCTTGAAGACTGGGAAAAAATCTCAGTGGCTAGATGTGCCAAGCTTATTGAGACATACCCCAAGAGACTTGCAGCTGTAATTGCTGCAAAAGGTGGCTCTACTAAGTATTGACTTTTGGGGGGGGGGGGGGGGGGGGGGGGGTGAATAGTTATGCACGCTCAAGTTTTCAGTTTTTTTGTGTCTTCAAAGTGGTAGGCATGTTGTGTAAATCAAATTATACAAACCCCCCCAAAAATCCATTTTAATTCCAGGTTGTAAGGCAACAAAATAGGAAAAATGCCAAGGGGGGTGAATACTTTCGCAAGCCACTGTAGCCTACTGCAGCCTAATGTATCCAGTACAGTAGGTATTTGAAGCATAGTAGCCTACAGGGTCAGTTAGAACCATCTACTGGGCTTAGAGTAGGCCTTCATCTGCCCTGTGTTGAATTGAAGTCTTCGAGGAGCAGGAGAACAAAGAGTATTATAATGTAGCCTGACTTAAAGTAACACAGTGTCCATAGCTGCGGGAAGTAGGGATGCTGAGGGTGCTGAAAAATCGGAATAATACATGTTTTAAAAATCACAAAAGTAAGTACTGGGCCTTTGCCAGTCCTGTATTAGCGGACCGTTAAAGCAGTCTGTATCTCGTGCAAAAAATATTTAATTTGCAGCCCCCCCAAACATCTTCCCAAGGCTATGACAGTGTCCAGTGAAAATCTCACTTTTAAAAGTTTATATTCTGTTAAAGCTGCAATATGTAACTTTTTGGGCGACCCGACCAAATTCACATAGAAATGTCAGTTATAGACCGGTCACTCACTGAAAGCAAGTCTAAGAAGTGGTAGATCTGTTCTATGTGCTATTTCTATGCTTCCGTTATTCAGTTTCGTTTTTGCATCTTCTACTTTCAGATTTGTACACCAGCTTCAAACAGCTGAAAATACAATATATTTGGTTATGGAAAATATATTTCAGAGGTTTACATGGTACAATGATTCTCTACAAAGGCGAACTATTAGAATTTTAGCAACCAGGAAATGCTCGGAGCGATTTCTGCACAGTGCTGCTTTAACTCATACCCAAATAATGTTGTTGACTCATTCTATACTGGTATTTGTGTCCAAGGCATAAATTAGAGAGAAAAAAAACCCAGTCATCCGTGGAATGAGTTTGACCCCCCTGGTTTGTTTAGAGCAAGCTTGGGGCTCTTAACAAAACTTCTCCGGTCAGAAGATACTATCGTCAATAGGCGCTAAAGTAGTTAGCGCCTATGGATGGCATATCCTGATCACATCTGCTAAAATGTAAATGCTGTTCGTACTTATAGACCAACAGCATAACCTTGGTGTGTGCATGGTTGAAGTTAGGACAGAAACAGTAGCTTCTTCTTCTTTGCTATCATGGCGTTCGCACGTTTTGTTTGTGCATTCCGCCACCTACCGGTAGTGTGTGTTCGATCATGTTACATTTGTGATACAAAAATAGAAAGGAAGGGGGAAAAAGTAAGAAATTGCGCCACCAACCAACCCTACACCTATATACCACTGTTTCATTAAAATACATCTCTAAAACATCTTATAACTCTTCTGCAGTAAAATATCGTACACACTTTTCAGCAGCTGCCACCTACACTCATTAAAAATCCACTACAGACTTCACAATTTCACTACTTTGATCCTATCTGCTCCTGCACCATGCCAACGGCCGGGGAGGACGGGATACCACCACTCAACACACCCTGTAACTCTTCTAAAAGAGACAGTAGCTAGATCATGTTTATCATTTTATAATTCTCTTGCTAGGGCTTGTGGTGCCCTTTTGAATGTCCTATTTTTCTTTCAGGCAATACAATTGCACACTCTTGATGACGTCAATATTACGCGACTACCGGCAAGACCCCCGCCCCTCAACGCGTTATTGTTGCGCCTCGAAGAACTAGCAAATAGGGCGATTTTGGGGACAATCTGTGGTTCTGGTGCTAATTAACCATGGCGTTACGGGTGATCCGACTGGTCCTCCCCTCGGGGACCGCCGTGTTCAAAGTAGGGACAACTATTCGGACGGTAAGATTGCCTAATTGCCTAAATGCTCTCTCGCGCAACGAAGGGCATTAAGTTCACACGCTTCGGTACAAGGACACCAGAACAACAATTCTAATGCTAACAAGGCTAACAGTCAACAACTATTCTGCAATAATGTATTGTGAATAATTAACAGCAATATGCATTTAACTCAAACAAGATGTCTAGCTAGTTAGCTAAATTAATTAGCTAACGTTCGCTAGATGAGCTCAACATTGGCTAGCTAACTTAGTCATTCTCAGTTTTATCAACTACAATGAGATAGCTATCTATCGAAATATGCTTCATTCATGGTGGGCAGGATGGTCAGAAGGTTGCCCGGTGGACCAGCTATTACCTGTTGACAGGACAGAAGCATGACACTCAAATGCCCATTCAATATTTGATTTGTGAACTACTGTTAATTGATAAACATATCTTCTGTCTTTTAGGCTGGTATTCACACAAGCTCAGTAAGGAACCTGCGGTACGGTTGGTGGGCATATGCACTGGGCGAGAGGACAACCCCAAGGTTCAAGGAGAACAGCAAGATAATCTCTATTGATGGCAACCTGGCCTCAGGAAAGGGAGCGCTGGCCCGGAATCTGGCTGACAAGCTGGGTAATGATCAGGCTGTTGTCAATGCAATTATTGATGTCTAAACTAATTGTTTATTAGGCTTTATAAGTTGGGTAGTTAGAAGTTGATAACGCCAATCATTTTCATTTTTCTGACTCATTTAAAGTGCATAAGAATGTGGCGTAGTTATGGTATTCTTTGGTAGTCCCAACATTTTCCTTTTTTAATCCCTTACCTTTCCTACCTTCTGGGACAAAACAGAAGGGCACAACGACCCCGTAGATTGACAACATGAACACTTTGCCTGATGTCTGTAGGGATGCTGTACATGCCCGAGCCTGACACGCACTACTTGGACAAGATGACAGAGGAGAAGGCGCCTCTGCCAACCGCCTTTAACGGTAACTGCAGCCTGGAGAAGTTCTACGCAGACCCCAAGGCTGCTGACGGGAACTCCTACCGGCTGCAGGCATGGATGTACCTCATGAGGCTCTTGCAGTGGTCAGACGCCATGGAACACCTGCTCACCACAGGTATGGCTGGTTGGCTAAGGAATGCGCTCACATATCACTCACAAATTACAGCAAGATTGTGTTAGGCTGTCGGGAAAAACAACAGACATTTAGCTCTTGACCTTACGTTTCTGTAGTTAAATTAATGCCTAGTGTTATTCTAAATGTGTGTTTGCATTTAGATCTTAAACAAACATTATTCTATTCATGCTCTTCTCATAAACTTTCTCTCACTCTAGGCCAAGGTGTGATCTTAGAGCGCTCCCCCTACAGTGACATGGTGTTTGTGGAGGCTATGTTCAAACAGGGCTACATCAGAAGACAGTGTAAGTACTGAAATCCCTATAACGAGGGTGGAACAGATCTGAATAGTCGTATTGCATTGTTATGACTCAGATCTGGTTTAACACCAACCTGAAAATGTCATGATATTGAAAGGTCATTAGTGTTTTAAATAAATAAACTGGGTGAATAAGCTTTTTTTCCTGTATGCCACCATAAATACCAAGGGGGCATTTTACAGTGCTGAGGTTGATGAATCTTGTATGTTCTGTAATGCAGGTGTGGACCACTACAATGAAATTAAAGGTATCAGTATCTGCGAGTTCCTTCCCCCTCACTTGGTCATCTATGTGGACACGCCAGCAGAAGAAGTGCAGAAGAAGCTGAAGACGTCAGGAAAGGTAGGGAGACCCAGGCAAAGAAAATATCATCCATACTATACTCTTCTTGGCATATCGTCTGTCTGTGTGAAAGATCATCCATTATCAGGCGGCAGAACCTGTGGAATGTGACTGAACAAGTTTTATTCAACCGATTTTTGAGACCTGTCCAATAATTATTGTAAATTGTGTGAATGCCTGGCACCGCTAAAAGCTTTTCTTATATTGATGTCGTTGGTGCTTTAAACTAAAAGCATTTTAATATTGTCTCAAACTGTACAGTGGTTATGATCTATTTCAGAAACAGAAAACAATATGCTCAGCCTGTTGCAAATGGAGATTAATGTTCTTAATTGGAATCTTTAATTTGCCAAATGCCTATGGTAATCAGTCACAATTACAGAAATGAGTTATGCTTTCCGGCATGCGCTGCCCATTTAGGATCTCTCACACTTGGCAGGCAGGTGGGCCTCACACAGCCTGGTAGTTATTAGCATTGTGGCCCCAGACATAATCCCCTCTTTAAAGATAATCACGGAGGGTTGGTGGAATCCGGTGCAAATCAAGTAAAATATGGAGTCTTCGAGTAGTGCTTAGGACAAGTCATCAGTGCTTAAATCCTAGGCTATTTTCAACTCGCGTCGTTTGATTCATGCTTTAGATCAGTGTTCCAAGTTTTTTTGTTGTGTGTGTTATTCTCACACGTCTCTGATTGGATTGAAGTGTAAAACATATGTTCAGGCATCAGTTTTAAAGCTGATAAATTAGAATCACACTCCCTTAGAGTTATAGATATATCCTTTCAGTGAAACACATGACAGAGCTTTTTTTGCTTTGAAAAATAAAACTTATGCTGTGTGAGAACGTATGCTGTGTGAAAATGTATGCTATTCAATGTTTAGGGTGCTTGTTAAATAACCATTTTCATCTAATGTCCTGTTCAGGCTATATGGCCGAAGGCTGCACTGTGTTTTTAGATCGCTAATAGTAGTGGACGTGTAGCATTTTGGCACAAAACCATCTGCTAAACTCCTCAAGGTTTTAAACTTAATACTGGTCAATAAAGGAATAAAATCAAGCTGATGCCTGGATAAGAATCCAAGTGTGGCCCTTGGCATAGATTTGTATCAGTTGCCAGTTCCCACTGAACCATTTGATAGTGTGTGCAATGAGTATTGTCAAGTTAGGCCTCATTACCTTTCCACTCTACAAATCAGATCATTGAAGGTGACAATCTGTTTCAACAGCAGTTCCAAACTGATCTTCTGCTTGTTGACCACTTTGGGTGATAACTTTGAATCCATTTAAGGCACTTCTACTAAGCTTGCAAAAGTATTCATCCCCCTTGGTGTTTTTCCTATTTTGTTGCAGTACAACCTGTAATTTTAATTTATTTTAATTTGGATTTCATGTAATGGACATACACAAAATAGTCCAAATTGGTGAAGTGAAATGAAAAAAGTAATGTGTAAAAAAATAATAAAAAAATCTAAAGATCGGAAAAGTGGTGCGTGCCTACGTATTCACCCCCTTTGCTATGAAGCCCCTAAATAAGATCTGGTGCAACCAATTACCTTCAGAAGTCACATAATTAGTTAGATTGCACACAGGTGGACTTTATTTAAGTGTCACATGATCTGTCACATGATCTCAGTGTGTATATATACACCTGTTCTGAAAGGCCCCAGAGTCTACAACACCATCAAGCAAGCGGCACCATGAAGACCAAGGAGCTCTCCAAACAGGTCAGGGACAACGTTGTGGAGAAGTACAGATCAGGGTTGGGTTATAAAAAAATATCCGAAACTTTGAACATCCCACGGCGCACCATTAAATTCCATTATTAAAAAATTGAAAGAATATGGCACCACAACAAACTTGCCAAGAGAGGGCCGCCCACCAAAACTCACAGACCAGGCAAGGAGGGCATTAATCAGAGAGGCAACAAAGAGACCAAAGATAACCCTGAAGGAGCTGCAATGCTCCACAGCGGAGATTGGAGTATCTGTCCATAGGACCATTTTAAGCCGTACACTCCACAGAGCTGGGCTTTATGGAAGAGTGGCCAGAAAAAAGCCATTGCTTCAAGAAAAAAATAAGCAAAAGGCATGTGGGAGACTCCCCAAACATATGTAAGGTTATTCTGGTCAGATGAGACTAAAATTGAGCTTTTTGGCCATCAAGGAAAACACTATGTCTGGTGCAAGCCCAACACCTCTCATCACCCCGAGAACACCATCCCCACAGTGAAGCATGGTGGTGGCAGCATCATGCTGTGGGGATGTTTTTCATCGGCAGGGACTGGGAAACTGGTCAGAATTGAAGGAATGATGGATGGCGCTAAATACAGGGGAATTCTTGAGGGAAACCTGTTTCAGTCTTCCGGAGATTTGAGACTGGGATGGAGGTTCACCTTTCAGCAGGACAATGACACTAAGCACACTGCTAAAGCAACACTCGAGTGGTTTAAGGGGAAATATTTTAATGTCTTGGAATGGCCTAGTCAAAGCCCAGACCTCAATTCCAATTGAGACTGACTTAAAGATTGCTATACACCAGCGGAACCCATCCAACTTGAAGGAGCTGGGGCAGTTTTGCCTTGAAGAATGGGCAGAAATCCCAGTGGTTAGATGTGCCAAGCTTATAGAGAAATACCCCAAGAGGCTTGCAGCTGTAATTGCTGCAAAAGGTGGCTATACAAAGTATTGACTTTGGGGGGGGGGGGGGATGGGGTGAATAGTTATGCACGCTCAAGTTTTTTGTTCTTGTTTGTTTCACAATAAAACATATTTTGCATCTTCAAAGTGGTAGGCATGTTGTGTAAATCAAATGATACAAACTCCCCCAAAAAATCCATTTTAATTCCAGGTTGTAAGGCAACAAAATAGGAAAAATGCCAAGGGGGGTGAATACTTTCGCAAGCCACTGTATTTTATATTTTCAAATAGCCTATTTTCTAAAGTGTGTTGTTGTTCCTGTCTTACCCTCAGAATGTACCCCTACCCTATCTGAAGAGCATTGAGGATGCCTACAAGAAGACCTACCTTCCCAAAATCAGGTTAGTGGACTACAAAGCTGTCTAGTGAAGGGAATACTATCCTTGATACTTCTGCGATGACCACATGGATGGCTCTTCATGAGCTCTTCACTCTTTTGAGAGAGTTTTTCTGTATTTCAGTGAGAATGCAGAATTGCTCGCTTATGATGCAACCCAGGCACAAGACATCGAGAGGGTAAGAAAATACAGTGCATGACTAGAGGCTAGGGATGTGCATCTTTCCCTTTTCAAGATGATTTGATACGCATCTATACTGAACAAAAGTATAAAGGCAACATGCAACAATTTCTAAGGTTTTATTTAGGGCTGAACGATTAATTGCATTCGCGATAATATCGCGATTTGACTGAACGCGATTTTCTAATCGCAACGTGCGCGATTTGAGGTGGTCACGTGACGCGACTTTTCATGCTGTCCAGCGCAATGGCCTCTTGCTCGACGGAACAGTCAGAAACTGACACAGCTGATACTTTAATATCGAAGAGGAACAGCACGTCGGTGGTGTGGAACTATTTTGGTTTTAAAAAAGAAGATGCTGAGCAGCGTCAGGTGTTGTGCAGAGCATGCCGTGCTCCGATTGCTACTTCACGGGGTAACACTACAAACCTGTTTCAGCACTTAAAAAAATACCACAAATCAATGCATGACAGTTGTATGACCAAAATGCCGAGCATCAGTGCGCGAGACAAGCCAAATACCTCAAGACAGGGATCACTGACAGAAATGTTCGAAAGTGTCACTCCGTATGAACGTAATTCAAAACGGCACGGAGAAATCACTCGGACAATAACCGAGTTCATAGCCAAAGATATGATGCCTCTCAGCACGGTGACCAAGCCTGGGTTCATGGCATTAATACATACGCTTGATAAACGTTACAGTATACCCTCCCGCACATACTTCAGTCAGACTGCCATACCGGAGCTGTACAAAAAGTGCAAAGAGAAAGTCGCCGCGGAACTTAAAACGGTGGAGTTTTTTGCTAGCACTACTGATATGTGGTCAAGCCGCACAGCTGAGCCGTACCAGAGTCTTACAGTCCATTTTATTGATGAAGATTTCAACCTCCGAGCTCGCTGCCTACAAACTACCTACTTCCCAGACGATCACACAGGGGAAAATATTGCAGCCGGCCTGAGAGAAGGGCTTGTCAGCTGGGATCTCCACGAGGAGAATCACGTCTGCATCACGACGGACAACGCGTCGAATATGGTGCTTGCTGCGCGGCTTAATGAATGGACGAGGCTCCAATGTTTTGGCCACAGATTACATCTTGCCATTGGTAAGTTATCGTGTGTGTGTGTGTGTGTGTGTGTGTGTGTGTGTGTGTGTGTGTGTGTGTGTGTGTGTGTGCGCGAGTGCGAGAGAGAGAGATGCGTCGATTAGTAAAGCTGAATATACAAATATATATAAATGATATTATATAAATCGGATGGGATTAAATAAATTCATACTTCCACTCCTTTTCTAATATGTAAATTCATTTTACTTGCTTATATCATATGTCTGTCTGTGGTGGAATGCCCACCTGCATTTTTTTTCTTTTCTTGTTTTTGTTTTTTACATGTTTTTTTAGTGTTTATGAGAGAGAGAGAGAGAGAGAAAGAGAGAGAGAATTGACATGCAAATAAAGACCCTTTGAATTGAGAGAGAGAGAGAGGATGTGTTGTGGATGTGTGTATTTCAGAATTACAGCTAATTTGAGTGTGTAATAGTGAGAGCCTTGTATCAAAACTCAAATTGTGTGTAATACACTACTTTTTATTTCTTTTAGAAAATGCACTCAAAGATGACAGAGTGTCAAGGGCAACAGCACTGTGCAGGAAGCTGGTGGGGCACTTTTCCCACAGTTGGAAGAAGAAAGCAGCCCTGACGGAGGCACAGAGTGAGCTCAAACTCCCTGAGCACAACCTCATAACGGAGTGCCCAACAAGATGGGGTTCTAAAGAAATGATGATTGCCAGAGTGCTTGAACAGGCCAAAGCCATTTCTCAGGTATTGTCTGGAGATCGATATGCACGCTCCCTTATCCCAACCTGGCAGGATATTGACGTGTTGGAGTCGATTCACAAGGCACTGCATCCTCTACTGGAGTTTACTGATGCTCTTTCTGGAGAGGAGTATGTAAGCATCTCCTACCTCAAGCCAGTTCTCCACCTTTTTGCCACATCAGTCCTGGCTGAAGATGCTGAGGACACTGACCTGACTAAATCAATAAAAACCAAAGTCCTAGCATACCTCAATAACAAATATGGAGACCCAAACATCCAGGAGCTTTTGGATGTTGCCTGTTTCCTGGACCCTAGGTTCAAAATACAGTACATCAGTACAGACAACATCCCTGCTATCAAGACTCGTCTGAAGACAGAGATAGTAGACTTGGCACAACGTACATATCATTGGGTAAATAATTATGTATTTCACAAAAACAAAAATTTTCTGTAAAATCTAACTGGAAAACTAATGGCTGTTGTTTTCATCTAATAGGAGAAGAGGTCTCGTACTGAAACTGTTCAGATGCCTCAAAGTGCACAGTCCTTGGGGGAAAAGACGAAGAGGTCTCTTGGCAGTTTTTTCAAGACCAGTTCAGCCTCTCCTTCTTTGCCTGTAAATCTTGAAGATGTCGCAGAGGCAGAGATAAACAATTACCTGATGACTCCTACCATTGATGGAGAAGATGATCCATTGGCTTGGTGGAGGGTGCACAAGATCAGCTACCCACAGTTGTGCACCATGGCACGCAAGTATCTTTGTGTACCTGCTACAAGCGCTCCCTCAGAGCGTCTTTTTAGCACAGGAGGGAATATTGTGACTTGCACTCGCTCAGCCTTGAAGCCAGAAAAAGTCAATATTCTGGTTTTCTTAGCAAAAAACCTGTGAGCCACTGAGAACAGAACTGTTGGATAAGTATGGCTGGCAGTGCCATACTCGTAGTGAACTTTAGTCTGTGTGGTGTGTTATTGTTGTGTACTTGAGATAAGTGAGGCTCATCTATTTTATATTATAATATTCAAATCGTTTATAAAAAATAGTTTGTCTAAATTAAAAGTGCATTTCTCATTTTTTATTTATAACTTTATTTACTTTGATTTTACAAAATATTTTCAAAGCAAATTCCTTGTTTCAGTTGTGTGAAATGTTACTGACTTGGGAGCAGTAAGATACATACAATTTAAAATTATTTTTTTCTTAAGACTGTACCTTTTGCACACAGTGTTTACAAAGTTCATGCCTTTGTTTAAATTATTTAAATGCACAGTGGCAAAGCCACAGATGTTTCTGTAATGAGCAGTTCAATAAAAATGTCATTTATTTCAAGTCATACATGTTTGAATTTAATTCTAACAAATAGACCCAGCCTATGGGAAAGAACATTTCACACTAAATGTATATACTATTGTGTTGGTCATATTTAAATCATTCATTATGTTTTGTAGGGGAAAAAGGATAAATAAATTAAATTGCATATTAAATCGCAATCGCAATATTGGGGGCAAAAAATCGCAATTAGATTATTTTCCAAAATCGTTCAGCCTTAGTTTTATTGAGTTAGTTCATATAAGGAAATCAGTCAATTGAAATAAGTAAATTAGGCCCTAATCTATGGATTTCACATTACTGGGCAGGGGTGCAGCCATTGGTGGGCCTTAGAAGGTATAGGCCCACCCACTGGGGAGCCAGGCCCCGCCAGTCAGAATGAGTTTTTCCCGACAAAAGGGCTTTATTACCGACAGAAATCCTCAGTTTCATCAGCTGTCCGGTTGACTGGTCTCAGACAATTCCATAGATGAAAAAGCTGGATGTGGAGGTCCAGGGATGGCGTGGTTACACGTGGTCTGCGTTTGAGGCCGTACTGCCAAATTCTCTAAAATGACATGGGAGGCGGCTTATGGTAGAGAAATGAACATTCGATTCTCTGGCAACAGCTCTGGTGGACATTCCTGCAGTCAGCATGCCAATTGCGCGTACCCTAAAAACTTGAGAGATCTGTGGCATTGTGTTGTGATAAAACTGCACGTTTTAGTGGCCTTTTATTGTCATACTGTTTAATCAGATTCTTGATATGCCACACCTGGCAGTTGGATGGATTATCTTGGGAAAGGAGAAATGCTCACTAACAGGGATGTAAACAAATTTGTGCACAACATTTGAGAGAAATAAGTGTTTTGTTCATATGGAACATCTCTGGGATCTTTTTATTTCAGCTCATGAAACACTGGACCAACACTTTACATGTTGCGTTTATATTTTTGTTCAGTATAGATACGTAGGCTCCGATGCGATACAGGAACGAGACGTTTTAGTTTGAAACAATTCGGTTTGATTAGAGGAACGAATCGATGCGATTCGATGCACTAACATTTGTTGCGTAAACACATTCATTTTCCATTGTAAATTAACATCTGTTGCTGATGTAGCTCCTGAGCTTGGGTTCCTCTGAGCTGGATCTGTCAAGATGACTTCTGTGGTGTGTGTGTGTGTAAAGTATGTCTATGGTGTGTGTAGGCACCTGAGCTGAGCCATAAGGGAAACTGGGCATCTACCACCACACTATCAGTTAGGGGGGGGGGGGGCGGCAATGCTTGCTTTTTGTCCTCCCCTACATTTGATTTGAATCTGATCACCCACTAAGTAATTTCTCATTTTTGCAGATGAAAAGTGTTAGCGTTATGACACAGCCAGTGAATATACTGGAACAACTTTGGATTTCATTGCTTCTCTTCTCCCGCTTCGACCATGCTTTTGCTACCCGCATTGCAATTGCTGTTCTCATTATGAAATGATCAACTTTACCCTGTATATCTAAAAATGACCATATATACTGATTGTTTCAAGCAAAACTAACAAAACTAGTGCTGATGGGGAACCAAAATACAATTTCATGTAAGCCCCGATTAGCATGTAGCCTACCTATAGCCAGATGAGTTGTCTCCGGCGGTAGCTTAGGCTACTTTTATAACACAATTTTCAACAGCGCATTTGATTTAAAAAAATTACCTAGCAAATTACATTGTGGTGATGGGAGTAGGGGGAAACGATACAGTTACATATCGGGATATTATTTTTGATGATATATCGTATAGTTTTGACAATATCGCAATATTATTTTTACTCTAGTTGTCTGTACCTGCACCAAAAGTCCAGTATTTTTCCTTCATAGTTTGTTCGACATCTTTTTGAAACAGGGAGCCAATTTTGTTTTCAGCACATTTATTTCCATGACTGATTTTATGGCTCTCTCGTCCCTCTGCGGCAGACATATGGTGAGCAAAATGTTTGGAACATCAAATCGCAATACATATAGAATCGTGAGAATCTGTTTATTCTCGGTAATACCAATCATCCCACCGAAGACATTCTTTAAAAAGTATACTCTGATATAAGACTTTATATGGGCAAATAAAACTCAAAGAATAAAAAGGAAAGTGCCTAAGTCTGAGGGGGATTTTAACCTTCCAGACATGGAATTGTGTGTCAACTCGCCACCCAAGGCCTTTACTTGCGACATACACGGAGTGTACAAATTAGGAACACCTGACATAGACAGACTGACCAGGCGAATCCAGGTGAAAGCTATGATCCCTTATTGATGTCACCTGTTAAATCCACTTCAATCAGTGTAGCTGAAGGGGAGGAGTCCGGTTAACAAATGATTTTTAAGCCTTGAGACAATTGAGACATGGATTGTATGTGTGCCATTCAGAGGGTGAATAGACAAGACAAAATATTGAAGTGCCTTTTGAATGGGGTATGGTAGTAGGTGCCAGGCGCACTGGTTTGAGTGTGTCAAGAACTGCAACGCTGCTGGGTTTTTCACGCTCAACAGTTTCCCGTGTGTATCAAGAATGGTCCACCACCCAAAGGACATCCAGCCAACTTGACACAACTGTGGGAAGCATTGGAGTGAACATGGGCCAGCATCCCTGTGGAACGCTTTCGACACCTTGTAGTCCATGCCTCGACAAATTGAGGCTATTCTGAGGGCAAAAGGTAAATATTAGCAAGGTGTTCCTAATGTTTTGCACATTCTCATCCCCAGAATCTTTTCACGTGTCTTTTCAAAGGATAAAGCTAAGAACATTAAAAACGTCATAGTTAAGAACACTACAATATCACTCCCTAAAAATACAACCTTATGGAACAATCCTTGGATAGCTTTTCAGAATTTACCGATTTTTAAATTGGTCCACATGGAAAACTAAACACATAGAAAACCTTAAATGACTTGATTTATTTCCATTACAGAATTCAAAAGCAATTCTGGACTGACCAATGTAGATATTTTCAAATACAAATTCAAGAAATTTCGATTTTAAATCTTGAGGGAACCCTATTTGAGTCAGAAGTGGATGTTCATATGATAGATGGTATGAGATACAAAGGCTCTCATAGAGCCTATCTAACTAACAGGCTCTCATAGAGCCTATCTAACTAACAGGCTCTCATAGAGCCCATCTAACTAACAGGCTCTCATAGAGCCCATCTAACTAACAGGCTCTCATAGAGCCCATCTAACTAACAGGCTCTCATAGAGCCCATCTAACTAACAGGTTCTCATAGAGCCTATCTAACTAACAGGCTCTTAGACAAAAAGAGCTGTGCTATAAAGTCCAAAAGCTATTGGCAGAGTTAAAAAGTTGGCTGTCAGAAGTATTACTATGTAAATTTACTTTTAATCCGTTTGTCTGCATAGTTCAAGACATGGCATGTGAGGGTGCAGTGAGATACCCGATGGGTTGGACTTTCCTTTTCTCGTCAATTATCTTGAAAAAAAACGTACACTTAACTGGAAATCAACCAATCCTCCATCGTTACCACAATGGAAAGGTCAAATGCTTTGTTATCTAAATGTTGAAAGTGCGTGGGTGACCGAGAGAAACAGGATGGTGCAGTTTGAGGCCATGTGGCGGAGAGTGATGTGGAGATGGGGGGGGGGGGGGGGTGAGCTGGTGGGTCTGGGCAGTGTTGAAGTTGTGAATGATGTTTGTGTGTGTATGTTTTGTAATGTATATTATTTTAAAAATAATCGTACCCCAATACAGATTGTAATAAAGCTGGTTAGACAACCCGAGACGTGGGGCAAGTACTGGATTGAGCAGAGTAGCGGGACGCTGCCACCACCCTTAGTTTGACCGGTATGGTCCGCCGTCAGAGGATAGGACATCAAAACTCAACACAGATATAGCAAACAATGATCTTTATTAACTACACCCTTTCATAAGACGGTGTGCATGAAATGCTAGGCGACCTGCTAAATTCCTGCAGTCTCTGTAACCCAATCAGAAGTACTACAATGACCTGAAGGTGTAAGGCACACTATTAAGCTAAAAAGTGACACAACGAAAGAGGACATAACATTGAACATTTTAAATGTAACATTTTAAAAACACTTGGCTCTCCCAGTTGACTGGGCGTGTGCAACACCGTTGGACCGTTTGGCGTGGCTAGTGGGGGAGATGGATCGCAACCATAGCAACCCCATTTCTTATCTGGTTCCCCAAATTCCCCCTCACTACCTGTCTTCCCCACCGGCTTCCCTACCCAGCAGCGAATGACAACCTCCCCCCATTAAGATGAGTGCAATGTGGATACTTGCAAAGGCTGCAAGCCCAATGTTCATCAAAGCACTGCTCCCCCGCCAAGACCTGCCGACGCTCTCGGCTCTGCCTTTATCAGTTTCTCAGAGTCTGTCGATGTGCCCTTGAGCAAGGCACTTAACCCTAATTGCTCCTGTAAGTCGCTCTGGATAAGAGCGTCTGCAAAATGACTAAAATGTAAATGTAAAATGTTCCTGGCAATTCCCAGCCCTATTACATTGGTTGTCACTTAACTAATAAAGCCTAATATTGCACAAACCATTTTACAAACATTTTAATGCTCAAGGTGACCTGCAGATGTGCCAGATCAGGAATAGGCCTACCTCTCTTTGGTCAGTGCACGAAGCTGCACACAGCGCGCAGTTTGACTATCCTACTGATATTGCCTGGGTTTTTTTGGCATGGAAAATGACCTGTAGATCAATGGCTGTCAACATAATTGTATGCTTAGTTCCACACTGAAGGAGAGGACGCAGTTGTCAGAAAATATTAGGTATTTTCGGAAGGTAGAGCGAGAGGAATTTGAGCAACAACAAAAAAAAGTTAGCCGCCGATTTGTAACATTTGAACCGATTTTTCTGACCGATGCATGCTACATTTGGATCGGTTTGGGGTCACGCAGACTGATGCACTCATGTCTTAAACATTTGAAACGGGACTGATTCGTATGGGTGAATCGCTACATCTCTACTAGAGACATGGATAATAATTGGAGACCCTTGTAGTTTCTGGTGAGAACACAAACATGCTGTTGATGTTATGTTATAGGTCTTCCCAATGCATGAACCTGAAATGCACTGATTGCTATTGGTAACCCCTCTTATTCCCTTACAGAATCCTCTCGTCAAAATAGACTTACATTTCTTTTAGTTTTTCTCATCTACAGATTGCAGAAGACATTGAGTACTTGAAGTTCGAGAAAGGACCTTGGGTAGAACAGGATGATGTCACATTACACTACATGAGAATGCTGTAAGTATAACCACTTCATTTGTTCCCTACATGTGTAGACCTAAAACAAAGTGTTGTCGGTACATTCCTGTCACGTACAGTACATGGGTAGGCCTATACTGTATAGTTCATATTGGCACTCTGTAGGCCTCATCAGCCTGCTGTTTTCCTGCCTCTCTCCCCCCAGGGTGGAAGACAAGATGAGGGTGGCAGACCTGACCCTTGTACCCAACTTCCTCCCTGAGGTCACCATCGGAGCTCACGAGTATGACGCAGGCTACTACGCCTTCAAATCGGTAAGGGAGAAAAGTGCTCTACTTCTCTAATGATGTTAGATCACCTGATATATCCAGACTACTTCACTAATGATGTTAGATCACCTGATATATCCAGACTACTTCACTAATGATGTTAGATCACCTGATATATCCAGACTACTTCACTAATGATGTTAGATCACCTGATATATCCAGACTACTTCACTAATGATGTTGTGGTGCTAGATGACCTGATATAACCACACTATGAGAGAAGTGGAGTATAATGAGGTCGACCTAAACCATACTGGATAATGAGGTCGACCTAAACCATACTGGATAATGAGGTAGACCTAAACCATACTGGATAATGAGGTAGACCTAAACCATACTGGATAATGAGGTAGACCTAAACCATACTGGATAATGAGGTCGACCTTAACACTACTCCTTTTCACCTTTTTTTTTTTTGTGTGTAGTATTTTCCTTCTCCCTCTCTTCTGGGTTGTGTCCGTCCACAGTGGTTTTTCCTCCATCATAAACAACTATTTTGTTAGCTGAAATATCTAATGATAAAGAGAAATGCCAGATGTGGAATATTCTCCAAGTCATTGTCATCATCAGTCTTGCAGGAAAACATTCTGTTCTGACCTTTAAAGTTTATTGACTGGAGATGAGTTGTCTGGCTGCTGCTATAAAATGGGGGTATATAATGTGCTACAGGGTTCTTTGAGATGACATTTTGCTTGTTGCGCATTATCATACTGGAACAAGTGGGAGGATAATCTTGGGGAATGTGAACTTTGGCGAGCTTAGGTTGTCTAAACCTTCCGTACTTCTATGTTGACAAAGTTCACTTCTGCTGAAGTGCAGGGTAGGATTCTGCAATAGAGCATGTACTGTACTGTGTTTGACAAAACTAGGAACCGATAGGGGCTTGTCTGTTTGGTGATTCATTAAGGCTTCGCCAGCTAAAAAACTTGAGTTGAACAGCAGATGCCAAGAACTCAAACAAAGTAAATAAAATACAACTTTAATGCCTATCAATATTGATATTAGCAATCAAACACCACTTCTCCAATCTTGAATTATTGTCTTTGAAGCTGTAAATAAATGTATTTATTTTTAGCTTCTTTGACTGCCTGATAACAGTTAAGAGAAAGCGAAGCAGTGTTAATGTAGGACTCTGTTAATTCTAGACTATTTTTGTTTCATACTCACAAGACTAATGGTGTAGCATGGCCCGGGTGACAGAGAGCGGCCTGGCAGTCTATCATATTAGCAGTAACTAATGCAGTAACTTATCACATTAGCAGTATCTTATCATATTAGCAGTATCTTATCATATTAGCAGTAACTAATGCAGTAACTTATCATATTAGCAGTAACTAATGCAGTAACTTATCATATTAGCAGTAACTAATGCAGTAACTTATCACATTAGCAGTAACTAATGCAGTAACTTATCATATTAGCAGTAACTTATCATATTAGCAGTATCTTATCACATTAGCAGTAACTAATGCAGTAACTTATCACATTAGCAGTAACTAATGCAGTAATTTATCATATTAGCAGTAACTTATCACATTAGCAGTAACTCATAACGTGCTGTTTTCCAAGGCTCTGAGGTGATGGATTGCAATGTCGCCCCCAGTGACACAAACACTTTGCTATACCATTAGTCTTCACTATCATCCAACGTCCAAGGATGGATGAGTCTTGAGTGGCTGGTTCTTCAAAGCTTAGGGAGTTAAGTAGGTCCGGCTCCTTAAATCAGAGAACTGCCCAAGTGACCTGTGGAATCTCACTTCTTACCCAAGCAATTCCCACAACTGTTTTTGGACTTATGGTGATTGAAACCCCTTGCATTGGCTTAGTTTTAATTATTGGTTTAGTAAAGTATAGGCTATGACTTGCCACCTGCCTCAGAGGGTTTCAGAACATATTAACTATTACCCACTTGATGTAATTCCATGCTCAGCCTTAAAGGGATACTTTGGGATGTTGGCAACGAGGCCCTTTATCTACTTCCCCAGAGTCAGATGAACTCATGGATACCATTTTTTATGTACCTGCCTGCAGTTTGAAGGAAGTTGCAAACTAGCACTGGCGCAATTGCTAACGAGCGTTAGTCATTGCGCTAACGCTAGTTAGCATTGGCTCGCGAAACTACCTCTAACTTCTTTCATACTGAACACAGAGACATAAAAATGGTATCCACAAGTTCATCTGACTCTGGGGAAGTAGATTAGCAGAATCCCAAAGGATCCCTTTTAAGTCGTTCTTGTTTACTTTTAGCCAACCTGTCTAATGTTCCTTTCAACTTCACTTACATTTCCTTGCTATATTCTTTTTGCCAACTATTCCAGCACATCCCAGATGTGTTAGCAGGCCTAATAGGCTATTTCCCATGTCACTCCTCTCCATCTAATCACTGACCACTTTAATAAATGGAATACTAGTCACTTTAATAATGGCACTTTAATAAATGGAACACTAGTCACTTTAATAATGCCACTTTAATAATGTTGACATATCTTGCATTACTCCTCTCATATGTACAGTTGAAGTCGGAAGTTAACATACACTTAGTCATTAAAACTCATTTTTCAACCACTCCACACATTTCTTGTTAACAAACTATAGTTTTGGCAAGTCGGTTAGGACATCTACTTTGTGCATGACACAAGTAATTTTTTCAACAATTGTTTACAGACAGATTATTTCACTTATAATTCACTGTATCACAATTCCATTGGGTCAGAAGTTTACATACACTAAGTTGACTGTCCCTTTTATACAGCTTGGAAAATTCTAGAAAATGATATCATGGCTTTAGAAGCTTCTGATAGGCTAATTGACATAATTTGAGTCAATTGGAGGTGTACCTGTGGATGTATTTCAAGGCCTACCTTCAAACTTTGCTTGACATCATGGGAAAATCAAACGAAATCAGCCAAGACCTCACAAAAAAATGTTAGACCTCCACAAGTCTGGTTCATCCTTGGGAGCAATTTCCAAACAACTGAAGGTACCACGTTCATCTGTACAAACAATAATACGCAAGTATAAACACCATGGGACCACGCAGCCGTCATACCGCTCAGGAAGGAGACGCGTTCTGTCTCCTAGAGATTAACGTACTTTGGTGCGAAAATTGCAAATAAATCCCAGAACAACAGCAAAGGACCTTGTGAAGATGCTGGAGGAAACATGTACAAAAGTATCTATAGCCACAGTAAAACTAGTCCTATATCGACATAACCTGAAAGGCCGCTCAACAAGGAAGAAGCCACTGCTCCAAAACCGCCATAAAAAAGCCAGACTACTTTTTGCAACTGCACATGGGGACAAAGATCATTCTTTTTGGAGAAATATCCTCTGGTCTGATGAAACAAAAATAGAACTGTTTGGCCATAATGACCATCGTTATGTTTGGAGGAAAAAGGGGAACGCTTGTAAGCCGAAGAACACCATCCCAACCGTGAAGCACGGGGGTGGCAGCATCATGCTGTGGGGGTGCTTTGCTGCAGGAGGGACTGGTGCACTTCACAAAATAGATGGCATCATGAGGAAGGAAAATTATGTGGATATATTGAAGCAACATCTCAAGACATCCGTCAGGAAGTTAAAGCTTGGTCGCAAATGGGTCTTCCAAATGGACAATGACCCCAAGCATACTTCCAAAGTTATGGCTTAAGGACAACAAAGTCAAGGTATTGGAGTGGCCATCACAAAGCCCTGACCTCAATCCTATAGAACATTTGTGGGCAGAACTGAAAAAGTGTGTGCGAGCAAGGAGGCCTTCAAACCAGACTCAGTTTACACCAGCTCTGTCAGGAGGAATGGGCCAAAATTCACCCAACTTATTGTGGGAAGCTTGTGGAAGGCTACCCGTAACGTTTGACCCAAGTTAAACAATTTAAAGGCAATGCTACCAAATACTAATTGAGTGTATGTAAACTTCTGACCCACTGGGAATGTGATGAAAGAAATAAAAGCTGAAATAAATCATTCTCTACTATTATTCTGACATTTCACATTCTTAAAATAAAGTGGTGATCCTAACTGACCTAAGACAGGGAATTTTTTACTAGGATTAAATGTCAGGAATTGTGAAAAACTGAGTAAGGTGTATGTGAACTTCCGACTTCAACTGTATATACTGTATTCTATACTATCGTAATAATGTTTACATATCTTGCATTACCCATCTCATATGTATATACTATATTCTATACTATCTATTGCATCTTAGACTATGCCGCTCTGACAATTACATTGCTCATCCATATATTTATATATTCTTTTTCCATTCCTTTACTTAGATTTGTGTGTATTAGATATTTGTTGTGGAACTGTTAGATATTACTTGCTAGATATTACTGCACTGTCGGAACTAGAAGCACAAACATTTCAACACACTCGCAATAACAGCTGCTAACCATGTGTATGTGACCAATACATTTGATTTGAATTCAATCAACTCATTTTCTTTTCTCTTCAAAAGCTCCTGGGAAAGAAGTACGCTGCAGGTTATAACGCAGATGTTGGCGATAAGAACATCTGGCTGAAGTGAAGGCGTGGACCTGACTATTCCGGAGCTGATTGGTGTAGATTAATGTTTCCTTCCTCATTCCCTCCCTATGGGCGGAGAGATCAAAATATGGGCTCATCCATTCAATCCAATCAGCAACGTTCTGACTGTGTATCAAGGAGAAATTGTATGTATTAAAAAAATTAAATCTAAAAAACTTTTCAAAATGGCAGTGTTCTTTCATGTTTATAAAATATGCATCTAGCTTTTTCAAGAAAGATAATAGCAATTGGAATGAAAGAGGAGATATTTCAGCTCATCCTAAATCATATTACTGACTTTTATTCAGGGAACTTTCAAGTTTGCTGTCCCAGTTTAAGTGACTTGCATCATTATAATGTGTCCTTTTAGTCTTTTCTTTAGCAGATGCTTCAGAGTGACTGAGTCGGTGCATATTGAGGTGTTCCAGCCCCATAGGGGCTCTGAAAGCAGGTAGCCAATTCGACAGGCCTTCACAGTGTGCCTGTTGTACTGAACGTGTCTGCCATACTGAAGTGGCTCACAAACCGATTGGTTTCCAGCTGTGCTACGGCTTTATAACAGACGCAATGCATTTCTAAATAACGTG